CGTTTGAACATGTCGATTATTTCCCAAAGTTTTCAGAATATGCGGGAAGAAAATGAAAACATATTTTTTTTTACAGAAAGTTGTCCATTTATAAAATATTTCTAACACACAGCACGTAAATACCAAAAAAAAAACCTCAAAATACATTCTGCTACCTCTCCTGAGTATGGCAATAGCAAATGTGTGAGACTTTTCTACAGCCTGGCCATATACAGAGGCCCAACATCCAAGTAGCACCTTTAGGCGTTCTAAGGGCAAAAATTACACATCTAATTTCTTGACAACCTAAAACACTTTTGATGGTTTTGGAGGACCAGGACAAAGGAAGCACCCACAAAATGACCCAGTTTTGGAAAGCAAACACTCCAACGTATTTTTTAGGAGGCATAATGAGTCTTTTGAACATGTCGTTTTTTTCCACAAGTTTTCAGAAAATGTGGAAAAAAAATTAAAACTTTATTTTTTTACACAAAGTTGTCGGTTTATAAGATATTTCTAACACATAACATGTAAATACCACAAAATACACCCCAAAATACATTCTGCTACTCCTCCTGAGTATGGTAATACCACATGTGTGAGACTTTTCTACAGCCTGACCACATAGAGAGGCCCAACATGCAAGGAGCACCATCAGGTGTTCTAGGGACATAAATTACACATCTAATATCTTGACTACCTATTACAACTTTGAAGGCCCTGAAGCACCAGGACAATGGAATTACCCACAAAATGACCCCATTTTGAGAAGTAAACACCCCAACATATATTCTATGAGGCATAATGAGTCTTTTGAACGTGTCATTTTTTTCCACAAGTTTTCGGAATATGTAAAAAGAAAATGAAAACTTTTTTTTTTTTTTTTACAACGTTGTTCATTTATAAGATATTTCTAACACATAGCATGTAAATACCACAAAATATACCCCAAAATACATTCTGCTATTCCTCCTGAGTATGGCAATACCACATGTGTGACACTTTATAACAGCCTGGCCACATACAGAGGCCCAACATCAAGGTAGGTGTTCTAGGGACATAAATTACACATCTAATTTCCAGACAACCTATCATTTTTGAAGGCCCTTCATATTTTTAACATATAGCATGTACATACCAAGAATTACACCCCAAAATACATTTGAGAAAATGGTAAGCAAAAGATTACCTGTGGTTTTAGTAGTGCAGTTGTCCACAGAGGAGAGCATTGATCCAGGCAGCAGGCAGGGATGTGGTCAGCTACATCAAAAGCAATTGTCCAGGCAGCAGACAGGATTATTGTCCATTGTCAGTACAGGAAGCAGGCAGATATATCATCAGCGCAGCCAAACCATTGGTCCAGGCAGCAGGCAGAGATGTGGTCAGCAGCCAAAGGATTGTCAAGGCAGAGACACAGCATAGCCAAAATATCAGTCCCAGTAGTAGGCAGGAACATGGTCCATGGTACAGGGGTAGGTAGCAGGCAGAGGCGTGGTCAGTTCATGTGTCAGGCAGCGGCATGTTGGCAATAAGTTGGCAGCAGGCAGAAATATCAGGTTTAGGGGCCCGTCAGCTAAGACAGGGGTAGAGGCTTCGTCCCACCCATCTCTTCGAAGCCTCCGGACTAACAGACCCTTTTTTGGGAATTATAAAACCCAGAGAAAACCAAAAACTTAGTTTTCTCCACTCCGAAAAACTATTCTGAAGCCCCTCACATATGTGAGACCCCTGTATTATTTTGAATCATAATACTACAAAAGCAGGGCAGAAGAACAGTCCAAGCGGCGGGGCAAAAAACGTGGTCAATTAACAAGCCGAGGTCAGTTCTGATGGAAAGCAGAGGCATCGTCAATAAACAGGCCAGGGTCATTTCCAGAGCAGGCAGAGATATGGTCAGTTTAGGCGGCAGGCAGAGGCGTGGTCGAATAACAGGCCAGGGTCAGTTCCAGAACAGGCAGAGGTATGGTCAGTTTAGGCAGCAGGCAGTGGCGTTGTCAAATAACAAGCTAGGGTCATTTCAGGAGCAGGCAGAGGCATGAGGAGTGAATGGCAGGAAATTCATAATTACGTTTACCATACTTCACTAATATTTTACAGAAGTATGGTAACGGCGGAAACAGTAACCTATGCAGAGGCCTGGTTGGGAAGGACACTGAGGACAATAAAAGCTGGTGTCTCGTCTAACTCCTCTTCTGGTGCACACCCGACATTTTTTTTGACGTCTTTGACCTCCTTCTCTGCGAGGGACTTTTTCAGGAAAATGCTGTTCCTGGAGTCTACTCACTACATCTGAGTGAACACTTTCTGGTGGGCCTCCAGGGTACAAAAGGGCAGTGACAATTTCTTCCTGATACCAAAGAAAGGGCATGGGTGTCTCGGTGGATTTCCGGTAGATTATATATGTGTTATAAACGGCCAAATTAAAAAAATAAATGGAGACTTTTTTATACCAATGGCGGGTTCTTCTTACAGCAAGGTAGGGCTGGATCATCTGATCATTGAAGTCAACTCCCCCCATGAATAAATTATAATCATGGACACATTCTGGTTTTTGGAATGTGCCATTTTTTCTGGTGATTTGCACGTGGTTGTCATTATGAATTGATGAGAGCATGTAGATGTCTCGTTTGTCCCTCCACTTCAAAGCCAATATCTCTTCGTTCCGCAAAGTCACTGACTCCCCTCTCTGTAGTCTTGTGTTCACCAGCCTTTGCGGGAATCCCTTCCTATTCGATCTCACGGTGCCACATGCTAGTGTTCTCCTTCGGTGAAGATTGCGGAAAAGGGGTAAGCTGGTGTAAAAGTTATCAACATAGAGATGATAACCCTTTTCAAAGAGTGGAAACACAAGCTCCCAAACAACTTTTCCACATGCTCCAATATAATCTGGGCATTCAGGGGGATGCAGTTGGCTGTCCTTTCCTTCGTACACGAGGAAGGCGTACACGTACCCCGTGGCTCTGTCGCATAACTTATAAAAAGTTTAATCCCATATCGGGCCCTTTTGCTGGGGATAAACTGCTTGAAACTCAGCCTGCCACTGAAGGGGACAAGTGACTCATCCACGCAGATGTGTTTTTCTGGGACAAATAATTGGGCAAATTTATCAGAGAAGAAATTAAGGAGTGGCCGAATTTTATATAGTTTATCATATTCTGGGTCATTTTGGGGAAGGCACTGGGTGTTATCATTGTAATGCAGGAACCTCATGATCATTTGATATCTTGTTCTGGACATGACTGATGAGAAAACTGGCATGTGATAGATTGGGCGGGTAGACCAGTAGGAGTGTAATTGATTTTTTTTTTTTGAGTCCCATATTAAATGTGAGGCCCAAAAATGTTTTAAATTCCTCCACTGTCAACTGCTTCCATTGATAGGGACGGGCATAACATGAATCTGGGTTTGTAGCTATGAACTGTTGGGCATAGAGGTTGCACTGGTCCACAATTAAATTTAGAAAGTCATTGGTAAAAATTAAATTAAAAAAAAAAAATAGGGGCAAAATTTTCTGTGTTTACCTGGACTCCTGGCTGGGCAGTAAAAGGGGGGATGTTAGCTGCTCCAGAGTTAGAGGGAAGCCATAGGGGGTTTTGAAGGGCATATGGAAGAGTGGCATGGGTCCTAACCCTTTGGGGCTGAGGTAACACCTGACTAGGACCTGGTCTTTCTTGACGTCCTCCATTTCTTGTGGAAGCCACTGCTCTGCTAGTGGATGCCACCGCGCTACTTGTGGTAGCCTGCTCCTCACCAGAACGCCTTCGTTTGATGGGCACAATTTCCTCCTCCTCCGATGATGATTCTGTAACAGATCCACTGCTTAAAACGGGCTCATACTCCAAATCAGAACCACGCTCATAATCCAAATCAGAATCATGCTCTGAGAGCTCCCCGCTGCTCTCGTCGGTCATGGATAAAATTTGGTACGCCTCCTCGCAAGAAAATAATTTTTTGGACATACTGGGACAGTTGAGGCTGCACTGATGGGGCTGCTGATGAGGCTGCACTTGTGGGTGCTGATGGGGGTACACTGCTAGGTCCTGACGAGGGTGCGCTGATGGGGATCCACTGATGAGAGTGCACTGACGGGTGCTGATGAGGCTGCACTTGTTGGTGATTATAGGGGTGCACTGCTGAGCACTGATGAGGGTGCGCTGTTGGGGGTGCACTGATGGGTGCTGATGATGAGGCTGCACTAATGGACACTGATGAGGTTGCACTGATGTGCAATAATGGGCTGCACTGATAAACTGCCACTGATGTGCTCTGATGGGTGCTAATGAGGATCCACTGATAGAGTGGTACTGATGTGTATGAATAAGTGGCACTGATGTACACTGATAAGCTGCAGTGATGAAGCAGCACTGGTGGACACTGATGAGCACCGATAAGTTGCAGTGATGAGACAGCACTGATGAGCACTGATAAGCTGCAGTGATGAAGCAGCACTGGTGGACACTGACTGATGAGCCCTCACTAATGGGCACTGATGAGCACACTGATGAGCCCTTGCTGATGGGCACTGATGTGCACAGATCGGCACTGATGAGCACCGATATGCACAGTTGAGCACTGATGGGCACTCACTGGTGGGCACTGATGAGCACAGATGGGTACTGACAGGCACCGATGAGCAGATGGGCACTGATGTGCACTCACTGGTGGACACTGATGAGGACAGATGGGCACTCACTGGTGGGATGAGCACTGACAGGCACCGATGAGCACTGAGATGTGCACTCACTGGCGGGTACTGATGAGCACAGATGGGCACTCACTGGTGGGCACTGACATGCACAGATGGGCACTGACGGGCACCGATGAGCACAGATAAGCACTGACGGGCACAGATGAGTACTCACTGGTGGGCACCGAGGAGCACAGAGCACTGAGCACTGATATACACACTGGCAGGCACAGATGAGCACAGATGGGCATTCACTGTTGGGCACTGATGAGCACAGATGGGCACTGACAGGCACCGAGGAGCACTGATGGGCACTGATGTGCACTCACTGGCGGGTACTGATGAGGACAGATGGGCACTCACTGGTGGGCACACTGACATGCACAGACACAAATGGGCACTCACTGGTGGGCACTGATATAGCACTGACAGGCACTGATATACACACTGGATGGCACTGATAGTCACAGATGGGCACTGTAGATCACAGATGGGCACTGATGAGCAAAGATGGGCACTGTAGATCACAAATGGTCACTGTAGAGCACAGGGCACTGTAGATCACAGATGGGCACTGTAGAGCACTGATGGGCACTGTAGATCACAGGTGGGCACTGTAGATCACAGATGGGCACTGTAGATCACAGGTGGGCACTGTTGATCACAGGTGGGCACTGTAGAGCACTGATGGGCACTGTAGATCACAGGTGGGCACTGTAGAGCACTGATGGGCACTGTATAGCACTGATGGGCACTGTATAGCACTGATGGGCACTGTAGATCACTGTGGGTAGATCACTGGGCACTGTAGATCACAGGTGGGCACTGTAGATCACAGGTGGGCACTGTAGATCACAGGGGCACTGTAGATCACAGACAGGGCAGACAGGGCACTGTAGATCACAGACACTGTAGATCACAGACAGGGCAGTGTAGATCACAGATAGGGCACTGTAGATCACAGACAGGGCACTGTAGATCACAGACAGGGCACTGTAGATCACAGATAGAGCAGTGTAGATCACACTCACAGTTGTAAGAACCGATTCTCTCTCCTTTCCTCACACTCGGTATTGGTGTGAGGAAAGGAGAGAGAAAACCCAGCCATGACCCTGCTGTGTTTACATTTGTGATCACTCTGTCCAATGAAGAGCGACCACAAATGTAATCAGCAACTGTAAGTGGCTGTTCACCCCCCTCTTCCTAATGTCCTGTGTCCGAGGGACACAGCCGTCACGGACAATACCCGATGCGCGCCGCCGGGGGCGCGCGAGAAGCGCGATCACGGGAGGACGTCATATTACTATGTGGCATAAAAAATTGCAGCACCCATCATTTTATTTACTAGGGTGTCTGCTTTAAAAAATATATATATAATGTTTGGGGTTCAAAGTAATTTCCCAGCAAAAAATACTGATTTGTTTCATGTGAACAAAAAGTGTCAGAAAAGGCTTGGTCTTCAGGTGGTTAGAAGAGTGAGTGATGTGTGGCATAAACGTCTAATGCTGAGCATAAAATGCCCCCATCCCCCAAAATGACCTCTTTTTGGAAAGTAGACACCCAAAACTATTTGCTAAGAGGCATATTGAGTCAATAGAAGAATTTATTTTTTTACCACAAGTTTTTGGAAAATGACAAAAAAATTAAAAAATAAATAAACATTTTACCCAAAATTGTCACTTAAACGATTTATTACTCACACATGCCATGGGTATATGAGAATTACTCCCCAAAATGCATTCTGCTACTTCTCCCGAGTATGGGATACCACATGTGAGAGACATTTTGGCAGTCTAGCCAAGTACAGGACCCCAGAATCCAATAAGCACCTTCAGGCTTTTAAAGGGCTTTATTTCCTCATTACACTTCCTTGCTACCTATCACAGTTTCGGAGGCCCTGAAATGCCAGGATAGCACCAAACCCCCCCACATGATCCCTTTCTGGAAAGTAGACACCCCAAAGAATTTGATAAGAAGCATGGTGAGTATTTTGCAGATCTCGTTTGTTGCCACATGAAGAAATGAATACGAAGAAAGAAAACAAAAACATATTTTTTTTTTCTTTTCTTTTTTTCTGTTTCAAAACCTTGTGAGACAAAATGAGATTTGCAAAATACTCACCATGCCTCTTTTTAAACTCCTTGGGGTATCTACTTTCCAAAAAGGGGGCTTCTGTATGTGGCTAGGCTCCCAAAAAGTCTCACACATATGGTATACCCATACTCGGTAGAAGTAGCAGAATGTATTTTGGGGTGAAATTCCACATATACCCATGGCTTTTGTGAGCAATATATCATTTAAATGACAACTTTATGTAAAAAAAAATGTTTTTGTCATTTTCCAAAACTTGTGGAAAAAAAATAAATCTTCCATTGACTCAATATGCCTCTCAGCAGATAGCATAGGATGTTTAATTTCCAAAAAGGGGTCATTTGGCTGTGTTTGTACTGTCCAGGTATTTTAGCACCTCAAGAAATGTGATAGGCAGTCAGAAAGTGAAAGCTGTGTAAATTAAATTAGCTACACTATTGTTTGTAGATGCTATAACTTTCACACAAACCAATCAATATACACTTATTGGGATTTCTTTTACCAAAAACATGTAGCAGAATACATTTTGGCCTACATTGTTGACGAAATTTGAGTTTTTAGGATATTTTTTGACAGAAATGAGAAAATATAAAACATTTTTCAAAATTTTAGGTCTTCGTTTATAGCGTGAAAAATAAAAATCAAACAGGTGATCAGATACCACCAAAAGAAAGCTCTATTTCTGTGAAAAAAGGACAAAAATGTAATTTATGTATAGTATTGCATGACCGTGCAGTTGTCAGTTAAACTAGTGCAGTGCTGTATAGCAAATAATGGCGTAACTTGCAGTATCTATACCATAGTTTGTAGACGCTATAACTTTCACACAAAGCAATCAATATACACTTATTGGGATTTTTTTTACCAAAGACATGTAGCAGAATACATTTTGGCCTAAATTTATGACTAACTTTGAGATTACTATATATTTTTTATAGCCGAAAGTAAAAAATATTGGTTTCAAAATTTTTGGCCTTTTTTTGTTTATAGCACAAAAAATAAAAAGCGCACAGGTGATCAAATACCACCAAAAGATATCTCAATTTGTGTAAAAAAAAGGACGTAAATTTTGTTTGGGTACAACATTGCATGACCGCACAATTACCAGTTGAAATACTGCAGTGCCGAATAGCAAAAAAAGGTCTGGTCAGGAAAGCAGGGTAAATCCTCTGGAGGGCAAGTGGTTAAAAAAAAAATTATCTTAAATGAAAACATTATATAATAATGATTTAAATAACATACTGAAAGACCTCCGCAGCTATCTCACATGAACAACTTTTAATTAAAAATTATACACAACAATGTAAACAATTCACAATCAGAAACAAAACAATTTAAATCAAATTCAACATACAAGCCAGCAGGGGTGAGAACCTTCATCTCATATATCCAGAATGGTTCTCTGTGGCTTAATGATCTGATAAAATCCCCCCCCCCCCAATGTGTATTAACCTTTTCAATAAAATTTCAAGCCCCTAGGATCCCTGTTATGACATAACCTAAACTGTTTAGAAACGCTATGCATTTTGAGTCCTTTTTTAACCACTTGCCGACCGCGCATAGCCGAATGACGGCTTCACCGCGGCCGGCCAGTTCTGAGTGGACGTCATATGACGTCCTCCCAGAACGCGCTCTCCTGCGCGCCCCAGGGGGCGCGCACCCGGCGATCTCCGTGATCGCTGTGTCCTACGGACACAGCTGATCACGAGATGTGGTGAAAGGCCGATCCCACCGGCCTTTTACCACGTGATCAGCGGTGTCCAATGACACGCTGATCACAGGAAAATGCAAGTGCCAGTTCTCGGCTGCACTTTCCTCACGCTGTCAGATCGTGAGGAAAGTACTGCCGAGAACCGGCAGTTGTCAGAGCGGGGATCGGCACCGATCATCAGGGCACTGATGATCAGTGCCCTGATGATCGGTGCCCAGCAGTGACCCCCGCAAGTTCCGATCAGCTGTGCGCCCACTAGCCCCGCCCACCCATTCCCAGCGGTGCCCCCACCTGTGCCCAGCAGTGCCCCCACCTGTGCCCAGCAGTGCCCCCACCTGTGCCACTCTGCAGTGCCACCTACCTGTGCCCAGCAGTGCCACCTACATGTGCCCAGCAGTGCCACCCACCTGTGCCCACCCACCTGTGCCCACCAGCGCCACCCACCTGTGCCCACCAGTGCCACCCACCTGTGCCCACCCACCAGTGCTGTCCACCAGTGCCACCACCAGTGCCACCCACCAGTGCTGCCAGTCAGTGCCACCAGTCAGTGCCCAGGGGTTGTGCCAGTCAGTGCCGCCAGTCAGTGCCCAGAAGTGATGCCAGTCAGTGCCGTCTATCAGTACCCATCATCAGTGTCACCTATCAGTGCCGCCTATCAGTGCTGCATATCAGTGCCGCCTATCCGTGACCCCTAATTAGTGCTGTCTATCAGTGCCGCCTATCCGTGCCACCTCATTAGTACTGCCTATCAGTGCCCTTTAGTGCTGCCTATCAGTGCCCATCAGTGCCGCCTATCAGTGCCCATCAGTGCCGCCTCATCAACGCAAATCAGTGAAGGAGAAAAAATACCTGTTTGAAAAATTTTATAAAAGAAACAAATAAACTTTTTTTTTTTTCAAATTTTTTGCACTTTTTTTAATTTATAGCGCAAAAAGTAAAGCGCCCAGTGGCGATTAAATACCACCAAAAGAAAGCTCTATTTGTGAGAAAAAATGATCAAAATTTCATATGGGTACAATGTTGCATGACCGCGCAATTGTCAATCAAAGTGCGGCAGCGCTGAAAGCTGAAAATTGGCCTGGTAAGGAAGGGGGTATAAGTGCCTGGTAGGCAAGTGGTTAATATTATTGACATGCTCCCACAGTCTAATATGTAGGGGCCTGGATGTCCTCCCAATATATTGAAGATCACAGTCACACTGCAACAAATAAACTATCTCCTGTGTACTGCATGTGATGAAATCCTGTATTTTATCATTCTTTTTGGTGACCATAGATACATATTCTTTCTGTTTCTTATTATTGATTTTAGAATATTTACAAGCTGTACAACGTCCACAGGCATAAAACCCAGACAAAAAGGAGAATAACCTATTCTCTTTATGTAAAGGTCACAGGTGATTGGCAGTCACAGCAGACACATGATCAGAAAGCACCAGATCGCAAGTAGCCATTGGGAGTTTTCTGGTACCCACCAGTAACTGTGCTGGGAGTGTGCAGGGTGCTTCCCGCGTATTGCTGGTGGGAAGAGGATAATTAACCTGATGTCCTTTTATTCATGTGTTGGAATTAGCCCTCCATAGTGCAGAAACTGTGTCTATACAGAAGGAAATGTTGGCAACAGGGGACACTTCTCTGCCACGAAAACAATAAATAACACCCAGTCCAGGGGCGGACTGACAACTCATGGGGCCCCCGGGCAATAGGGGATCATGGGGCCCCTGTGTCCTTGCCCAAACTCAAAAAAGCCTATGAAAAAGGTACCAGGGGCATCTCATGGGGCCCCCTACTGACCCCTGGCCCTCGGGCAGTGCCTGAGTTTCCAAATGGTCAGACCGCCCCTGACCCAGTCTTGCAGCTTGTCTTATGTACTTCCAAAATGTTTCAGAATACATGTGTCATCTACCTACAAACAAACCAGCCTACAAACTCAATAACTGCAAAAGCATTGTTTTTTTCTACATTATAAAGAGTGCAGATAAACATTCTAAAACAAACAATGCAGAATAAAAAAAGTATTTTTGGGTTGGAATGGAGATTGTAGAATACATATCTACGTGCATATCTTTTAATTGGAAGATTGCTGTGATTTATTTTTTGTTTTAACTGTAGTGCTGCATGCTGCAATGTCTCACTTGTAAACAGTAAAAATAAAAATGAATGTATTAGGTGTCTTTAAAATCTTAAAGAAAATACATAGCATGTTCTGTGCTTCAGCAAAATAAACTATGAGGCTTGTAATTTCTGATTTGTATTTGCAAGTGTGAATTATCTGATTAGACATGTAAACATCTACAGTAAGAGCCACAGTATTGTAAATGCATTTTTCAAAGTGACTTAAAGATATAAAGAAGCCTTCAACGTTTTCAAAAGGAACTCTTGAAATAACTTTCCACTTTTCCATTCTCAAGAAATACTGGATAAAAATTACTGTATCTATAACTCATGATACATTAGTGTGATGGTCAGTGGGAAGAATGCTTCTTACACTTGTGGATATTGGAAAACAAAAAAACTACCCTCTTGCAGATAGCTTAAAATATCAATGCTATCATATGCTGAGAGACAGAAATTACTCATTGCTCAAGGAACCTCTAGCAACCTCATGAGGAACCCTAGGGTCCCATGGAACCCTGGTTGGAATACCCTGATCTAAAGACACACAGTGGGATGTATTTGTCAATTATTCACCAAGAAATTCATACAATATTTGTCCATTTTTTTTAGCAAGGTTTGATTTTTTACTTTCACCCATCTAAATAGCATCAAACATGGGTCACCCATGTGAAAATGTCACAAAACAAGATTTGGCTAACGTGATCTTTAATTGGAAAGTGCTTCACTGTACTGTTTATTACTCAGTGAATATAGATTTGTTTTTTCCTTATACAGTGTGGGGAATGTCAGGGGAAAAGACGAGGAAGCCCGGACAAATGCGCCAATGCTCAATATAGCCACGCCAATTCGCGCAAAGAAGTGCACATGTGCATATGCGGGCAGCACGTAATCGAGCATTCCTGTGCATGAAAACGCACCAGCACACGCAGGGTGCACTAATTGCTGACACTCAGTGGCCTTTATAAGGACTGCAGCTCTGCACAGTGATTGCTGGCTTATTGTCAGCCCCTCCCGTTCCTGTGTTCCTGAGTTTACTGCTGATTACCTGTTACCGACCTGGCTTGATCCTGACCTCGTTTCTGTCTGCTGCTCTGTTTATGACCCCGGCTTGCTCCTGACCTTGCTCCTGTCTGCTGCTCTCTGTATGACCCTGGCTTGATCCTGACCTTGCTCCTCTCTGCTGCTGCTCTGTTTATGACACTGGCTTCATCCTGACCTTGCTCCTGTCTGCTGCTGCTCTGTGTATAACCCCGGCTTGATCCTGACGTTGCTCTTGTCTGCTGTTCTATATTGATCCTGGCTCTGGCTACTGACTACTCTACCCATCCTCTGGGATCTACGTGCTCTCTGGAGAAACTCCTCCAGAAACCGGAGCACCCACGGGTTCCATCTTATCAGGCATCTCCAAGTAGCAACACCACTGGCAACCCGTGCTTCTTTGGGCACTGCACCTCCTGCTTCCACCTCCAATGGTGCACTGCACTTAGCCGTAAGAGGAGCCCTCTATTGCAGCCTCCGGTGAAATTCACATAACATTTACCTTTTCAATGCTCCTGACCAAATGGAAATCTGATGCTATTTTCTTAACCCCCTTGCTTATTAGCCCAGGAAATGGGCTATTTTAATTTGAAAGATTCTGTTCCTATTGATTCCAATGGGGATCGGTTTCACAGAACCCTTACTGAACCAAACCCAGTGCAGTCTGGCTCATCACATCTGCTTAGAAAGACTTGCCACTTCTATTGTGAGCACCAACACTGATTGTTGTTCAGTCCATCTCCTTCCTGCAGTTACATCTGATTAGGAGTACTTTGGAGTACATTTAAAGTGTTCCTAAACCCATAATTGTAAAATCAGACTGTATGTGCAGTAAAGCATGCTTGGCACAGGGTCAGTCAGCTCTGTCTAGACAGAGGGTTAGAGGTCATGCAGCCTTACAGGACAGTCAGAGGAGAATGAAAACTCTTCCTACAAGCTTTAACCAGTGCTCTGCCAGACACTGATAGAAGTCACATGACTGCTATATACTGCTGATGAGAAAAGGTATTTAGCATTTTATATTTATTTATTTACTAAAATAATTGCATTTCCATGTTCTGTGTACTGTGGGAGACCAGGTAGAGTGACAGATATACTGAATGCAGGGTCCTGGGTTTAGAAACTCTTTAACATTCTGCCATTTCACCCAGCTCTGATGAAGGGGGATTGTGTGGCCCCTGGGATACTTTGGCTTTTCTCTTTTTCTCTGTTTGTTGTAAGCAGTTGACCAATAAAGGCTTTGGCCTCCTAAGGATTTTTTCATTTGGTGCTCATTGGACCTAATACACATAAAGTAAAATGTTTGTCACTCTGACCTGAAAACTAAGAGTTACAACTGTATAAAGAATGCTACACAAAATGGCATAAATTAACAGTAAAATATAAAAATAAAGTATGTAATTGTGTTTGATTATCTATCTATCTATCTATCTATCAATCTATCTAGCTATCTTTTTTTATTTACAGGGTCATGGGTTTGAATGCCTGATCTTGAAGCTTGTTCACAAAATACAATTTCAGAACAGTTTTTGTCACTGTAGCCTAGAAGTGAAGCATATACTCAAGAAAAGAATGCTTTACTTGTATATGAGAACATTGGGAAAAGAACATAGTTGAACTTGTTGACCAACAGCAAAAAGAAAAATCCATTGTAGCCAGTCACTCTTATAATAAAACTTTTGATGACACAACTTTCAGTACATTCAATGACAATGCTCACAGGATATGCAGAAAACAAGCCTTGATTTGGCTAACTCTGTCTTTTTCCTCCTATAATTTTTTTCTTAAAGTAACACTATCACCTTACCAATTTAAAGGCTTAGTTTTTTTGTTTTAAAAATAACAAACACATCATATATAAATGTGAAACAAAATGTAGCGCTAATCGCTTGATGTAAATAAATCAATGTGCAAATAAAATTCCCTTACTTAAAAGTGAATAAACTTACTATTATAAATAATTTCGTGCTTACAAAAACACAAAAAATTTCCTATAG